TTAGGTCCCGGGTTCGTATCCAGACTGCTACGGGACACATTTTCTTCTCTAAAACTTTCTCCTTTCAATTCTGTCCTGCTCCCTAACAATGTTCTTTTGGACTAACTCAAGCGATGACGACGTTTGTAGCAGGTTTCGCGGCATCAATGAGACGGCAAATTTGAAATGTGCGCCCACTGAAACATCGCCCCCAGTTAGCAGTCTAATATTATAATAAACGCGTTGTCAGTCTATTCACGACAGCTCACACTATTTCCATGCCCACATTATTATGTGTGTGCCCCGGAGCAATCCAGCCTACTGCTCAAAGTGAATTGCGATTGGTTCATTGTCGGGCTATTGTTTTTAGCTCTTGCCCGCCCCGCTCTGTGACCCTGAGCTTGAGCCAGTTAACGTGACCTAACGAATGCACGGTTAGTTGAGCCTTTGGATGGTTTGTAAGGGTGAAGGTGCTATTACTTGAATGTTGAGTTCAGTTGCTGGATGGATGAAGTTTGATTTTAACTAACAAATGGCTACCTTAGAATTACAAAGTTCTATCAGCTCAGTACAGAGATTTGAAACATTTGACATAAACAATTTTGAGTTTCACTCTTGACCTCTCACTGTTCTTACAACTCTCTCACTGAATAGGTCTACTTGAACCATTAAAGTTTTTACTCTACTTTGAGTTTGAGCATTAATTTTTCTTTCATTTTATGATATGAATCATGATACCAAGACTGGTTCTTGACAGTCGATTTTCTGATTCTGGGCCCTTTCACAGGCTCAAAGCAGGATTCATTTGTTGTATAATATAGTTTATATGTTATATATAAAGTGATGAGGGAAAATATAAAAAGAAAAAATTGAACAAGTAAGAATAGACTGAAATACGTAAGTCACGCAAGACTCCAGTTTCTCACTGAAATTTTGTCGACTGGATACATAATATAATGTTGGCTACGTACTTGTTTGTGTGTGTGTTTGTGTGTATTATATTTAAATAGAACTTGTGCTGTCATTGTTCATCAATGCCTTTCACCCCTGGCAGGGTATAGGCCATATACAAGCTCCTTCCATTTATCTCTGTCCTGAGCCATCCTTCCAAGCTCGTTCCAAGTTAGCTTCATTTCTCTCATGTCCCTTTCCACGCATCTCCTCCATGTTTCCCGTGACCTACCCCTGCCTCGTGCTCCTTGTGGGTTCCACTGCCTCATTTACTATACCTTTGCCTATTTTCAACCTGTGACAGCCTAATTATTGTGCACATCCGCTTTTTAGCCCCACGACCATGAGCTGCCCCTGAGAAAAAAATGTATAGTGGGTCCCAGTGACTTATAACTATAACACTCTCGGTTATTATAGGATTTCGATTATAGCATGCTTATCATAAATCCCGGAGGCCGATCTCTATTCGTACAAAATGTATTGTTTTAAAAGATTCTTCTATAACATGCATTCGGACAGACATGATCGGTGGGTGGTTGGCGTGTGCTCTGGTGTGGTTTGCTTCTTCTTTCCTATCAAACATTTATCGTCCTTATCTCAGGCTCATGTGTGTATATTGTTGTGAATTAGTTTCGCAGAGACAGTACTGCCGTGCTTACGACAGAAAAATGTATAATTAATATGCCAAAAATGAAATGTTACAATAGAGGCAAGCTTTTTGATTGTGTATGTTTCAGATTAACTAAAACTTGATCCATCTGATCCATTGATGTCAATATTCATTTGCTCTCTTAACCTAACTTTTGACTAATTTGCTGAGGTATACAGCAAAGAGTAATGGAGTAAGTGATTAAAACTTTTTCTGTCATACCAGTGTAACCCTATCCGTACGCCTTGGGGTCATTTTGTACCCCAGGGGTTGTATTCTTCACATTTTAGAATACTTCTGGTACTAATATCTCTTTGAAACTTTCAGTACTTCTCAAAAATTAATTTTGACAGTCTGCTGTGCAAAGCGTACGGATCGCATTAACGAGTAAATTTCCTCTTTGGAAAGTGGTGGCCCAGAGTTCTCCACGTCGTATGGATACGATAGTAAAACACGACGTAC